GGTATTGTTGTTTTTTGTGTGTGTATGTGAGTATGTGTATGTGTGCTTGTGTGTGTGTGTGTCTGTGTGTGTATTTGAGGGTTTCTGTGTGTGTGTTTGTCTGTGCTTTGTGAATGTATGTGTGTGCGTATGTGTATTCATATGTGTGTACATGTGTACGTGTGTGTGTGTGTGTGTGTGTCTGTGTGTGTGTTTGTGTGTGTGTGTGTGTGTGTGTGTACGTTGTGTTGCGCATGTCGTGCCTCCTGCTAAAACGCAGTGAGTGTATTTATTACCCTTTTAAAAGATCGGAGGTTTATTCGAGGGAGGGGGGGGATTTCTGATGGTATCGCAGAAAAGCAAGAACAGTTTTTACGTGTAAATTTGGGTGTTTTACGCCCCTATCAACACAGTTTAGATCATTTAGGAGGCGGGCTTCAACCCTGTTTACCAGAGCCACGCGAGCTGAGATTGAGTAATACAACGTCCTAGCAAGAAGGATAGAGATACTCGATAAAAATTCTCTCCATCTACAGAAATCGAGCTCAGATCTTTTACATGAGGTGACGAAAAGCCTGACCGTTAAACCAGAGGCACTGCACAATGTCTGTAAAAATAGATGAAGATTTCGCCTCAGGAGTAATTGGGGACGTCTTCCTCTCAGAAAAAAAGTTGATGAACTCATCCGAGAGGCTAACAAGTGAGCACGCATTGTTGACATCTGCGCCATTACTTTGTGTCCATTTATACAGACGTCCTTTAATTGTCATTATATTACTTTATTAAAAGTTATCGCCACGGTTAAATTTTTTTTCTCCTATCATTCGATTTAATTTCGGTCAGATCCACTAAAACTAACTAAATGCGAAATGTTGCTTTAAGACAGTTATTATCTTTATGTTTGTTACCTAGACCTAGGTCAATTTCGGAGGCATCGAATATCTTTCAAGTTGTTATCGAGGACGATGTGGCCAAAAAGAATGTCCAGATGCCAGATAATTTTGAACCTGATCATACAGAGCGTTAGAAAACTTACACACTCTTTTAAGAAAAACTGTCCTACTTATGCTCAGAAGGTCAAATTATAACAGAACATTCACTTTGACAAAGTTTCTTCACAAACGTTATTCCCCATGACCTAATCAAACTAAAGAGTATTGATGGCTAATTGCTCATCGATGACCCCGTGAACAAGACAATATGAAAAGAACACGAGCGAAGAGAGAATATACTTTTCGCCTGTCAAAGAATTTTTTTAATAACCAGAAAGAAGCAATGAAGCAGGTCACATTGGGTTGAGTTGATAAAGAATCAGTTTTAATTCCTTCGTTTCCCGCACACAAAGCGTGTCACATTTGTACAAGCTGCCTGTGTCAGACCCTGGCCCCGTCCTCGACCGTCTGACAATCTCTCATCACCAGCTGGGACGGAGTGACCATTCACACCGGGTGAAGACACAAGGAATATCGTAGTTTCCTGCATAAATGTGACACCCTTCTCAGTCTAAAACTATTTATTCTTAACATGAACCGTTTGGCAGTGGGGATAAAATAGTTAAGGAGATGGGACAAAGAGAGGAAAAAGTGAGAGCCTAACGTAAATAAGACATTTGTATTTCCAAGAATAAGATCTTCGTAAGTGTTATTTCCCAACTGGAAGGGCTGCATCTCATTAAGGTACTTTTGTTTGTTTGTTTTAGTAGGAATTTTATGGACTTGCAAGACAAATAAGGCATTATAAGTCCCGAAGATTAAAGCTGGTACTGTACTCGTATAGGTACATACAAAGAAAAGAAGGAGAAATGATCAGGACAACAGGTGCTTGGTGGGAAAGACGGAACAAACCACACCAGAGCATGCGCCAACTACCTCCTCCAAATGGCATGTTCTGAATAAGTAATACTTTTTATTTCATAAGTTAAGTGTATTTCCTCGTTCGTCAATAGATTGTACCCAAACTGCAACCATAGTAAGATCTTGGAAAAGATTGTGGTTTGATGTTTTCCTTTGCTCTTCACGTAAGCGTCGTCTCTATTCGAACCCCGTCTTCTTTAAAAATAAAAATAAAACGTCTCCATTTTCTGTAAATCCAAGCTAAAAATCAGGGGCAACTGACCGCAAGATATTCATCTTACAGTACACATAAATAGAATCATCCATTGCCTGATAGGCAACCACGCCCCGTTTTCAAAAGTATTCATACTGACTAAAGGGACTTCAGTTAGAAGTAGGAATTAATTTCGAATTTTGGCCTTTCGGCAGCCCGATGAACTCACTTTTAACCTCATTACCCTTGGCAAAAAGCTCCCGAATTTCCCCTCTCTGTGACGGTCCGTGTCACTCGTCTCGCTGTGAGGTCCCTCAGTACGAGACCCTGCATTGACAGCGCAGAGACTGCCAGCAGATTTGTCCAAGACGCCATTACGGCCAGCTTTTCTAACCATTCTTCCCGTCTGCAGGGACTGACGGCGCCGGCCGCGCACAGAGCCGCTGAGCGAAACGCATAAATTAACATGCGGCCAATTCTGACACAGCGAGGAAAAGAAAGATAATATATTGTTAGGTGTGATGCAGAGAAGATAGAGAAGAGGAAAAAAGGCAACCCGTAGGACGAAGTTATTAAAACGTCGAGTCATGTATCTAAGTGTACGGCTGAAAACTGCTTAGTTAATAATACGGCCGAAAAGCTCTCCTCTCTCAACCCATTTGGTGCGAAAAAACGATTCGACACGCTCTAATCATATCGACGCCACCTATGAAGAATTCTGTAGAGCACAGTCTGTCAACGAGGAAAGTGGGAGCGACTACGGTTCTTTCAAAGTGCCCGTCCATGGAGCCACGCCTTGTTAACTTCGTTCTCGAACGTAGAAAGCGCCACGCACCTCCTGAAATGAAACCTAAGATGATGTCATTTTTCACTGCAGTAATAGAGACCTGTGGGAAAGAGTCGTGGGAACTAAAACTTTGTATCGATCTGACAAGCCAATCGCTGATCGCCCTGTGCGCGGTGTCTGACATTTTCGACTTCATGTTCAATGTGGGCATTGTCCATGGCGTTGTCCTGTCAAGGGTATGACACTTGAATGTTCTTAGAGCTGTGAAACTCCAATATCTAAGTTAACTCTAAAGTAAAATTGGTCTTTTGTCACTAAGGGAAAATGGTATATATGACATCTGTCAATACGGAAAGTAGGTGCGAAGAGACTCGTCTGAGTGATTAAGTACGTATAACAATAAACACAGGTTATACAAAGTTATATTGTGCGCTGTTTTCGAATTCCTATTATTATTGCTTTGTTTTCTCAACCACTCTTCAGTAATTATGGCGGCCCTTTGTAGTTTAGCTCTCGCATAACCATGTTGTATAGCGACAACCCCCTTACAAGAACAGTGCTGTTTGTTGTTGTTGTTGTTGTTCTGTGTGCGTGTGTTTGTGTGTATATGTATATGTGTGTGTGTTTGTGCGTGTGTGTGTGTGTGTTTGTGCGTGTGTGTGTGTGTGTTTGTGTGTGTGTGTGTGAGTGGCTCTGAGTATTATGTGTGTCCGTCTGTGTATTATTATATATGTGTCCTCTCTCTCTCTCTCTCTCTCTCTCTCTCTCTCTCTCTCTCTCTCTCTCTCTCTCTCTCTCTCTCTTTCTTTCTCTCTCTCTCTATCACTCATCTCACTCCCTCCCTCCTTTCCTTCTATTGTTCTTTTTTTAAGGGGTGCGGGGGGTTCTCAAGACACTAAATTAGCGAGCAACAAAGCAAGGATTGGTCATCCAGCAATTGGTCGGACATACGTGCCGACGCACCACCGTCTGCCCTCTCTCTATCCCCGCGTTCCTTGCTCTACCCCCCAGGTGTCCTGGCAATGAAAAGGTTAGAGGAACCCCCGCAGCCACCTGTTTGCTCAATTGTCGCTGGCAGATAGAACCATCTTGTCCCAAGACTCTTGACGGGACACTTGGAGATAAAGCTGAATTTCCTCTCACACAAAAGACTGAGCGCAAATCCTACTTTCGTTTTCAGAAAGAAGGCGAAGGGAAGGGGAACTAACTAACAAAAGCGGGGCAGCGAGTTTCCGCATGCGTCTTTTCGAACCATGAGATCATAACAGCAACCCTCTCAGGGTTATACGCAACTAGCTGTGTTTTACTACGTTTTCTCTAAAGTATTTCACCCTTTACAGCACTCCGCAATTATTACCCAGACGTAAACCTGCTATGCGCTAGAATTAAGGCCCCAGATTCGCATACGAAGAAAATGCCGTGTTTTGGTCGAGAGAGTTTGGCCTGGGGTTGAGGGGAGTATTTCTAGAGTCAATTAACAAGTTTCTACAAAAATAGTGTAAGAAAGAGCGAAGTAAAATCACTAAAAATTAATCCATTAATTCCGACTTCTCTTATTTCACATGTTAAAGTCTACCAATTTTTTTAAAAACTAACGTCGTGACGCAACATTCTAGCACTTTACAAAATATTTTAAAACCCTTCTCCTGTTGTTAAAGGATATCACAGAATCTGAAGTTCTGATATTTTTTTAATACCTTTTTTTCAGTTGCGTGTTCCCCCTGCGGTGCTGAAGCCTCTTGAATTCTTTATCGTGTGACCGCCAACGCGGCGAGCAAATAGTCAGACGAGGGGCGAGAGAAGACAGAGGCAGTAAGTCATAGTGTTATCTCGCCCAAGACCTGACTGTCACCACAACAAAAAGAGCGACCCTCGAAGAAAATAAGTTTTTTAGAACTGCGCACCTCGCACCTCTCTAGTTCTCCGTCTGTCCCCGTGAATGTCAAGTGTTGGTGTGTGTGTGTGTGTGTGTGTGTGTGTGTGTGTGTGTGTGTGTGTGTGTGTGTGTGTGTGC